ATTACTAGTATTGTGGTAGATGGAAGGGACTGTGTCATTTAATAGCATATAACTGCCATGATTCATATTGGTAGTTTATTTACCATGATATTTATGATGACCAACTTAATGAGTCAATCTGATTTATGGTGCACACTAATGACTATTTTACTAAACCACTACAGAAGTTATCATATGGGCCAAGTGGAAGACTGTAAGATATTTTCTTATATTTGTGGCCCACATGATTTGGACACGTGATTTATTTTTATTATTTGGTGGTTAAATAAAATAGATATCAGATTATTATATTATTTGGTAAACTTATAAATTACATATTTGTTATAAATTTCATTTTTGGTAATTAATTATTAGAGAAGTGCTTTCCTATTTATTTCTTACTTTGATGGAAAGTGGAATGAAAGTTACTAAAATGAAAACTGGTTATCTTTCTGCTTTTATAAAAGTGCATATTCCCATCTGTTATATACGTTAATGAAATAACACGTATAATGTTTATGTGTGCAAAAGGTTAAAAGAGATAAATCAGTTTCCACACTTTGACTTGCAGTTTATCACGCTGTTCGTCCCGCAAAAAGGATCTCGACGTTTGCCTTGATATTTACTATATTTGCAATTACAGATCGAGATATTTATATCTAATTATTTATTTATACATTATAGACTATGTAAAATAATGAAATTTTAAAATCTTAGAATTCATGTTTATTTGTGATTAATGGTTTGCACGAATAATTATTAAAGCTTACGAGGAGAGTGATATTTGGAGAGGTGGACCAATTAATTTGGTTAGCTTCCTGCGAGTACCTAGGTAACTCAAGTGGCAAAACGAACAATAAGGTTATTTGGGGAGGTCCAAAAGTTGCCATGTCTGATGAGATTTGCTCTAGAAGGGGTCCTCTATTTGTCCAAAAGTTGCCAAAACGAAGTGAGATGGCCATCACCCACCAGGGCCACCACATGTGTGATGAAAGGTCTGACAATGGGTCGTAGTTGCAACAGTTTCCTCTAGCTCCAAGAACATTGTTTTAGTAATCAGTGTCCAAAAGCTTCTCTCTTTGGTCAGGTAAGCCCAACACGATTGTGCCCAAATACTCTGCTTCTTGTTTGACACCAGAGTGCCGATATGGTTAGCAACACTTGCACTGTTAGTTGCTTCTATATTTGGAATACCAAGCCCCCACTGTTAGGAAGATATATTACCTTCGACCATGCATACCACTCTTGCCCCGTCTTTTTCATTCTAGTTTCAATATGCAATGAAAGTACTGAAAAAATTAAGAACTGAATTTTAAATACAAAAATTTTAAGCTATAATTATTAATTTATATATTTTTTTATTAATAAAAAATATATTCACACACCCACTTGTTGCTCTTTTGGAGACTTGAACCCTCAAGCTTCTATATTGGAAGGCGAGAAAGTACCACTAGGTCACAAGGCCCTTGATTTTTTATTTTTTATTTTTTTAAAAAAAATCTTTAGTACTCAATTATAATAAAAATTACTATTATTTAAAATTTATTTCATTTTTAATGTCACTTATATTTAAGTAATTTTTAAAATACATATATATCACATGATAAACACTTAAATTGCACTTGTGCAAACTCGTCTTCATCTTTAAAAGGTACTTAGAATAAAATATTGAATTAAGCTATGGAATAACAGGTGAAATCAGATTTTAATTAAGTCAAACTAAATTTAAATAATCCATCGTGTCAAAGCAAATATTAAGTCAAACCAAATTTAATTAGTTCTTGCACTACCGTGCATTCTATTTAGAAGTCAGTGTGTCACTGACATGCCACTTCAATAAAAAATATCTAATACATAGAATCATATTCAATTTTCCAAAAAAAAATGAAAAGAAAATAAATAAATAAATAAAGAAAATAGGACTTTATAAAAGATGATAAAGACTTGGAGATGTATGATTAAACATATATGGATGTTTCAGTTGAAAGAGAGAGGGAGACACAAGCTGAACACATGTGTTAGTGTGTGTCTGTATTAGGTAGTGTAGTTGTGCTAAAAACAACGCGTTATCATCTTTGGGCTTCTAGAACAGGCTGACCATTGGTTTCGCCTTTGATCTCGTTTTGTCCGCCGACCACAGCCGATTTCCATGACTACACTTTGTTTTATCCTCTACAGATTTTCAACATATATATGTATATATATATATATAATTATATATTATATATTATACATTAGAAGCTGGCTTTGGATGTACATCAGAGCTCAATCTTCCACTTTGAGAATCTCAATGAGGATGCGATTCAAACTCATCAACAACTAGCGTCTGAAACAAGTATTCCTTTCTTATCTCTCATGTCTTCTTTATTCCTCTTGTCTTTTTTATTTTTATTTTTTATTCATCAACAACATTTAAATCCAGTCTTTATTTATTATTCATCTATATCTATGTCTCTGTTAATTGGGGCCTATCATGTATACTTTAATGGTGTCTTTTACAGTTTGCAGGCTTCACACAGTGCATGTGGAAGTCATCCCTTTTTTTTGTTTAAATTTTTTTTCTTAACCACACAAGAAATGTAGTCACACACACACTCACTCCACCGGATCTAAACCGTCCAGCTTCTAATTTGAAAAAAAATGAGAAAATATTATTAGACGTTGTTTGAAAGTCAGTGTATGTAGGCCACTCACCACTGTGGTGTGGTGAGACCCACTGTCTCAATGTTATTGGACCTCCAAATAACGGCTCTTATAAAAAATAAAAATAAAAAAAGAAGAAGGAGACTGATCTCACTGAATTCGTGCGCCTTTAAAGTGATGAAAGTCAGTGTCTTCATTTAGCAACCTTGATGATCGATAGGAAGTAATTAATATGTACATGGGTCTCTTTATTATTTTATTTTATTTAGTTAAAAGAGTAAACTCGTATAAATAAGGAAGAAATACGTACATGGTTCCCAAAAAGATAACACAAAGTCAAGAGGCAACAATGCAGCTCAGGAGCTCAGAAAAACACACAATGGAGAACAAAACAAGACAATGTAATCAAGATAGAAGCATCAACAAAATTAATGCAAAACACAAAACAATATAGAAAACGACTAAATAAACTCTGGACCAGCAATATGATTTTGATGAGAATTTTTATGATTTTTTTTTGCCGTCTTTGTCCTTATTTATAATTGATAAAGGGTTCGTTTGGCATGCAATATGTTTAAAACGATATGATTTTGTCAATATCAAAATAACTATTTTGTTGTATGAGGGTTTTTAGGTAGAAATGGAATCATGTTTGGTGTGAAAAAAAAAAAAATTGTTTTGGAAAATTCAAAAATTTGCTTTACTTCCTCCGCTACAGTATCAAAACATACAATATCACCAATTTGGTGATATGAATTTGGGCAAGGTATGTTATAGTGACCCTTCCCGAATGAAGGAAGCAAGAGCATACTTGACTTGGATCTGCGTCCTCTTTGCTGCCTCAAGCTACTGCTCAAGCCCCGTATCTGGTTTCGTTCTTTTATCTTGCGGAGTGCTCTGACGATAACGAGGGCGTAAGACTGGATCCACATTTGACAACATTTGATTGATCACCCAATTCCTTTAAATCTCCTGCAAGTGAAATGTTATAAGCTATTTCAAACCAATATTAGCCGTTCCAAGTATAACGAGCCCAAATTTAAAGACCAATATCAAAAAAACAATATCATAATGTTTGAGTCCTTGGACTCCTCAATCTTTGTCGTGCCTCAAATTCTTTCCTTCTACAATTTGATATTTTCGGGGATTCCACAACCTTGTGCAGAATACTTGACTCACAAGACTGAAGTTTCCCTTGCTGTTTGAATTAGTAATTTTGGTTGTTGGGCGAGGGCTTCTCATAATGCATGACTGAATTGGGCCCCTAAGTGAGATGGGTGTGCCTTCATCTTTCGGTTGACTATCCACTTTTCGTTATAATAAGCTTTAATGGTGTGGTTTTTTTTGTTTTTTTTTGTTTTTGTTTTTTAACGTAATAATAGTTAGAGTTAGGAATTAATAAGAATTAAGGAAAACAAGATTCGAACCTAAGTTACCTAACAGAACCTAGGAGCACAAAGTGGGAGGCACTTAAGGCACAACCTTTGTTACCATTTACCAATGGATAGTTGGATGAGGCTGATATAGAGACATAATTAAGAATTCCCTCTTTGGGTTATTGAACTTGATTGTGCTCTTTTCTGCCTTTGTGGCCCCAATACCAAGTCTTGCACTTGCAGATCAAGTGATCAATTTTTTTTTTTCGTTTTCTTTTTCTTCCATTTTTCGTAAAGGAGTAATGAAATTAACTTTTAAAATCGAAACCAACGTACTTCTGATTCTAAAAAATAAAATAAGAATAAAAAGAAAAAAAAAATCAAGAAGTTCTTGAAACATAAGTGTCACAGTTCTGTAATGCTTATGGTACCGTTCGTCCAATCAAAACTCTTAAACTAACAAGTATTAAGTTTAAGGTTGGACTTCTCGTAGGTGCAAAGATGTGTGAGTATCAATTAAGAAAAATAAAAACTCTCAAACTAACCAAGGCTACTTTTGAGTAGCTTCAGATGTGACGTGGTCGACATAGGAAATAAAGCAAAGTTCTAATGCCGTTTTGCATATTAAGGGCTTATCTAGAACGAGGCCTACTTTCATATGCCTTTCGTCATTGCATGATTGGCTTTTTTCTATTTTAAACCTTTAACCTTCAAGTCACAATAAAGCAACTTGAGCCGACGTTATTATATTCAAACCCTCAGTAAGGCCATATCATAAAACCTTACAAAATAAACTTCAAACCCTCAGTAAGGCCATATCATAAAACCTTACAAAATAAACTAACATAATTGTATTTGGCGATGCTCCAAGGTTCTTTGATGCATCTCCATCCTAAGTGACAGATATGTAACTTGATGTGATAATCAACATAAATTAGAGGCATTCAACTTTCATGAAATGCTGACTACATATGTTGAAAAGCAATATACTTCATCACAAAATCTTCTTTTGATTGTTAAAAATTTCCTGCGCGATACAACACAAAAATTATCAAACCAACATATGTTTTTTAGCTTAAAGAAAACAAAATCACAATAGATATAAGTTGATGTACCCCCCAAGTTTTCATGGCTACTAGTACTTCTTCTGTCTAGCTCAAGTGAACTTGGATCAACTACCCTTTTGAGTGATCCAATTTGGGAACAAAATCTTCCCAATTCTTTGGAGGATCACAACTTGAAGAAGAACTTCTGGACTGTGATAGAAGTCTTCTAACCTCTCCTCCTTGTTGTTGCCAATTATATGTTGATGCAGATGAAGATGTTGAAGGCGAAGACAGAGACTGCGAAAGATATGTTCCACTATGGTAGATACCGGATGATCTGGCGTGGTTCAAATTACGATCCCCACTACCAAGAACTTGTGCATAATGAGCAAAATTAGGATATATATTTTGATGCAGAAGGACTGGAGGAGGAGGAGGAGGAGCAACCGAGTCAGCAGACAGTACTCGCTGAGCCATGACACGCGAGTCTTGACGAGTTGTTAGGTAACCCAACTCGGTTCTCCCTTGAACTCTTTCAGGGAAGTTGAGCTTAGCTTTGTTTCCTTTGAATCTAAGAGCTGCTTCATCATATGCAAGTGCTGCAGCCTCAGCTGTTTGGAAAGTGCCTAGCCAAACTCTTGCTGCTTTTTTAGGGTCTCGTATTTCGGCTGCCCACTTGCCCCATGGCCTTTGCCTCACACCTCTATAGTGTCTTCCCCTTTGGATCCCTTCAAAATGTACATATGTAGCTTTGGCATATCAGGCCACATACATTAAAATAATTAGGTTAATTAGTTTTATGTACTACTATATTCTTTTAAACATGTGTAACTAAAAAAAAAAGTTAGCCACGAGAGATAATTTTTGTGATTCAAACTCTTGACATCCAGTTTGCAATGGAGCAATCTAACCATTGCACCAATCCACCCTCTTTTTAACATATGTAACCAGCTATTTATATATATATATATATATATGGTAGTTGTAATTAAACTGCAAAAACATGAATATAGCAAATACCACAGACCTTTTCCTAGATTGAATCAGAATGATAAATCATAAATGAAGAGCCAAAATATAAAAGATATATATATAGTATGAAATAGTTTTAGTTTTAGTTTTTTTTTTTTTGGTAAGTTGTGAACTAGCTAGTTGATTTCATGCTTTTATTAATTAGCTCCGGCCAGTTCTTTTCATGTTGTTATTATTTATCTCTAGCTGTTCTCATGTTGTTATTAATTACATCTAGGTGTTTTCATGTTATTTTTCAAGGTTTAGGGCATGGGAGCAGACAGAGGGTGTTCCCAAGCTTAAGCAGGAATGAAGAATCATACCAGTGTAACCTTTCAAAAAAAGATTCATACCAGTGTAGAGATCCATATATATATATACACGTCTCACTTAGCTATTCAAGTAAAATTTGGAAATTAATAAATCAATTGTGCTTAGATCATTTCACTAAATTAGGGGTGGGTGGAAATCAAAGATAGAAAATATAAATAAATATATATATATATATAAACATGGTGCAAAATATCTATCAAAATACACTAGCAAAACCCTAACCAGTCAGTTGACCAATACAACATCCTAGTTAGCTGTCTCGAAATAGAAGTGGAGGTCATCAACATGTTCGAGTCTAACTTATCCATATATACCTATAAAAATATATAATATTTCTAATTAAACAGATATTATCTAATAATACTATGATATATATATATATATATGTATATATATGTATATGTATATGTATATATATGTATATGTATATGTATGATTTATGTTACCTTGATCGTGAATATTGGGTTGAGACTGATGAGGAGGCACAGTTGCACCGGGCTGGGGCATGGATATTGCTAGTGAGCTTCCTGGTGCAGGCGCATCAGTGTTTCTAATAACTTGAGTGAGAGCTGAAACCATGGCCGACATGTCTTGTTGAGATCTAGCTGAGTAGACAGGAAAGATATTATTGAGTTCTTCTTCCTCTTCTTTTTTCTCCGATGAATCATCGGATGAAAGGGGCCTCTTCCCATGCCTGTTTAGATCCACTTTATGACCTTAATTTCTTACAACTTATATATATATATATATACACTTGGTTGAATCTATATATAAATAACATGTAGAAGATGAGGGTTGTATATATCTGTGTGTGTGTGTGTGTGTGTGGATCAAGAGATTGAACAGCCAGAGAAGAGGATATATTAAGCTGAAAATGATGATGTGGAGGTGGTGATCAAAGAGGAAAATAGGGCTTTGATATCATGCTTGCTACAATATAGGAGTATATATATATATATGTATGATGTGTATGTATGTATGTATATGGATTCTTATATCCCTAGTTTGCTTGGTAAGAAGACTTATGTGTGAACTGAACTATGAACAGTATTAATTGGTCAATTTTTCTCAAAAGTGAAATAAATTTATTGAAAGGTAAAAACTGTATGTCCAGAGAAGAAAGAACGCTGATCTGAAAGGAGAGAACAACAATAACGCATTCAAGTGAGCTAGCTAGGCATGCATGTTCCATGACCATCAATTAATGTGATTATATTGCTTGTGTAAATGGGAATTTATATATGTATATATATATGTATATGTATAGCCTGGGTTTGTTATATTTTATTCTCAGAATTATTAATTTGTTCTTACTCTTCCATTAATAATTTGTTTTGGTTAAGTTCTCCCAAAACAGTTTTTAAAATAAATAAATAACGAATTACAAAACCTGGTTCTCAAAAAACTAATTAGACCAAGCATGCACTAAGCACCAAGCTCTTTACTGTTTTGAAAATATATAGGATATGAAGTATTAATGCTATGTTTGGTGTGCAGGAATAGAATGAAATGCAAGTGGGAATGGAATGAGAATGGGAATGGAATGGAATGGTCATTCTCATTCTATTGTTTGGTTGTAAATATGAAATGTGTAGGAATGCAATGATAATAACCATTCTAGTATTTGGTTAGACCAATTTAAAATTTAGAATGAAATAAATTTCTAATTGAATTCTCCAAAATATCACTTTTAGTAACAAATAAATTAAATTAAAATAAAATAACAAAAAATTATTCTCTAATAATTTTTTAAAAATAAATGGTGGCAGTGGCGGTGGTAGTGTTGGAAGGCAGCGGCGGTGGCAATGGTGGAAATTGGTGGCAGCAGTGGTGGTGGAAGGTGGCAGTGGTTTTAGTGGAAGGCGGTGGCAGTGGTATTAGTGGAAGGCGGTGGCAGTAGTGTGGTGGTTGTGGTAGAAAGAGATAGTGGTGTTAGTGGAAGGCGGTGGCAGTAGTGTGGTGGTTGTGGTAGAAAGAGATAGTGGTGTGACTATGGTGGTGGTGGAAAGCAATGGAAGTTGTGGTGATGGTGGTGGAAGGCGGCGGCAGCGGCGGTGCTAGTGGTGGTGGAAGGCGGTGGCGGTGGCGGTGGTGGTAGTGGTGGTGGAAGGCAGTAGAAGGTGATGGCGGTGGTGGAAGGCGATGACGGCTGCGTTGGTGGTTGTGGAACGCAGCGGCGGTGACGGTGACAGTGGTGGAAGGTAGCGATGGTAGTGTAGGGCTGTGGCGGTGGCAGTGGTGGAAGGCGGTGATGGTAATGAAAAGCAATAGCAGTGATGGTGGTGGAAGGTGGTGGAAGGTGGTGGCAGTGGTGAAAGGCAATGGCGGCGGTGGTAGTGGAAGGTGGTGAAAGGCGATGGCAGTGGTGATGGTGGAAGGTGGTGGCGATAGTAGTGATGAAAGGTGGCTGTGGTAGTTGCGGCAAACGGTGGAGGTAGAGGTGGTGAAAGGCGGTGGCGGTACAGTGGTAGTGGTGGAAAGTGGTGGGCGATGATGAAAGTCGGTGGTGGTGGAAGTCGGTGGTGGTGGAAGGTGATGGTGAAAGGCGCAGATGATTGTAGTGGAAGGTAATAGTGGTTTTTGGACTTAGAATATGAGGGTGTTTTAGGAAGTCGATTTTTTAAAATAAATTACTTGGGAATAGATTGGTCATTTTATAGATTTAGTTGTGGAATGGATTTTCATTCCCAGGAATAGATTTTCATTCTAATAGAATGGTCATCCCCACTTTAAGTTGTATACCAAACAAAGGAATAGTTGAAATAGGCATTCCATTCTTGCACACCAAACGTAACATAATAGTTAGTACTGTACTGTATATCTCTCTATTTTCATATTTCATATATCTCACAATCTATTTTGATGCTGGAATTTCAATGGGGACCATATTAAAATTTTATTTTAAAATTGAAATTCACTTTTCAAAGAAAAAAATATATATTAAAATTGTATGGGTGTATAAAAATAAAAAAAAATAAAAATCACTACTATGTAATACTGAAAAGAAAAAAAAATTCATTGGGGTCAATTAACAGGTCCTTGCCTGCCTCTATATATATATATATATATGATCCACCGCCTTCAGAGATTAGCTAAGACTACAGACTCTAAATAAATCCAATTAAGCAAGCCAATTAATATGGTGATCATATTTATTTTAATTAATTGTGATTATGTTAGAAGATGATAAAGTACCACTACATAAAAACAAATCAAAAAGAGGTAATTTTGATTTTTATTTGATCTCTTAATTAATTGAAATATCTACTTTTTGGTGACTCCACTATGGAGGTAATGTCACAATTTTTTTTTTTTTTGGTTAAAGACAATGTCACAAAATTGTGAACATAGTTAGACTGGAATTCAACATTTGGAGATGATTTTTTTAATTTTTTTATTTATAGATGTAGAGTTAGAAATCAAATGGTTGGACTTTGAACAATTCAAGGAATGCATATGTGGAATGCGTTGTGGTGGGACCAGAATGATTTGATCTTTTCACTCATATATGAAATATGAAAATTAGCCTTTCTTAAAATGTGCAATTTATTGAGTAATGGGAATTTATTATGTTAGAATGGAGCGTACAACAGCACTATACAGATTCAGTAACCAGTGTATCTTGATCTCTCAATTTGTTGTGGTCCTTTTCTGTTTTACTTCTCAGAAAAATAAATAAATAAATAAAATAAATTTGAAAATGTCTTTTGTGTTTTGTGTTTTTAAGAGAAGTGCTAAAATTGGAATCTCTATGTTATTGGTGCCAACAATTGGTGGGTATTTAGAAAGCTAATGGATCTTCATATACGAAACTATTTTTTTAAGGTATCTTCGAATCCAATCTTGACAAGAATCCCTCCCCTCAGCTCCATGTCAAAATCTATGAGTTATTTAGGTGCTAAATAAATGTAAACGTTATACTTTACAAATGTAGAATTGTGATTTTATATATTTATCGAACAACTTATTTGGCAGTTTTGTGTATTTTAAAATTAATTTTTTTAATATAGGAAATATCTTAATATAGGAAAGAGAGAAAAAATAGCTGACCTTATTATTATAGAATTCAAACCATAATGCGTTTGGTGTGCATGAATGGAATGGAATGCCCCATTCCAAACATTCTTTTGTTTAATATGCAATGTAAAGTAGGAATGATCATTCCATTAGAATGGAAATCCATTCCACAACTAAACTTATGAAAATGCCATTCCATTCCCAAGTAATTTTTTTTTTTTTAAAATTAACTTCCCAAAAAACCCCATGTTCAAGTTCAAAAACCACCATTACCTTCCACCACAACCACTTCCGCCTTTCACCACCGCTACCACTGACTTCCACAACTACCACCGCCTTCCAGCACCACCACTGCCATTGACTTTCACTACCGCCATTACCTTTCACTACCACACCGCCACTGCCATCGCCTTTCACCACAACCACTACCTTCCACCACCACCTTCACCACCGCCACCTTCCACCACCACCGCCACTGCCTTTCACCACCGCTACTGCCTTCCACCACCGCCGCCGCCGCCGTCGGTTTATCACTACCACCACTACCACTATCACCGCCTTCCACCACCACCACAGTTACAATTTTTCACCACCACCACCGTCACCACCTTTCACTACCATCACTACCATCGCCTTTCACCGGCCATCGCCACCACCGTCACTGCTTTTCACCACCACCACTACTACCGTCTTCCATAACCACCACCCCTTCCACCACTGTCACCTCCATTGCCTTCCACCACCACCACCACTGTCACCAACACCACTATCTCCTTCCACCACCACAACACTACTGCCACCGCCTTCCACCAACACCACTGCCGCCTTCCACTATTGCCACCACCGCCATTACCGCTTTCCACCTCCACCACCATCGTCACTATCATCCACCACCGCCACTGGTTCCATTTATTTTTTAAAAAAATTATACAAGAATGTCATTTTGTTAATTTAATTTATTTGCTACTAAGAGGAATATTTTAGAGAACTTAATTTGAAATTTATTCCATTCTAAATTTTAAATTGGTCTAACCATACATTATAATAGTTATTATCATTCAATTCCTACACATTTCATATTTATAACCAAATATTAGAATAAGAATGACCATTCATTCCATTCTCATTCTCATTCCATTCCCACTTACATTCCATTCCATTCCTGCACACCAAACGCAGCATAATATAACTTAATATTTTGAATTCATTTTTGCCTATATATCTTGGTTTGGGAGGCCATTTCTATTAAATATTTAAATAATTAAAACTAGAAGCTACAATTATTTACTGTGAATGAGTGATCATTTTTTTGTAAACAAGAACCCTAATTTATATATTTACTTAAAACTTTTTATAATTATATATTGATTTGGTATTTTCTGATTATGGTTAAATTAAAAGATATACAAAAGTTGATAGAGTGAAGAAGATATATATATATATATATATATATATATATATATATATATATAATGAAAAATATATATCCGTTGTCAATTTTTATTAGTTGAGAAAAAAAAAAATTATAGATAAAGAAAGAAACCCAGTGTAATTGTTCGTTCTTACCTTTTTTCTTTCATTGTCAATTTGTTTAGTTTGTTAAAATAGAAAACACAAATGTATAAAAGAATAAAGTGTAATGTATATTAAGATGGAGAACATTCATTTTTTTTTTTTTTTTTTGTTATCGTAACATCAAATTCTAAATACAATCTCAAATTAAAATTCGAGATGTGTAGCGCTAAAATATGTATGCACTTTGACAGAAATCTATTTTATTCACTAGGAATCTTTTACCATGTACAAATCTTTGGATATAACTAAATATATATTTTCCACCGATAGTCATATTGACTCGAATGCCCTCACTTCTTGTGACAAAGTGTTGCCCTCAATACAATTTTTTTTAACCATTCGTTAATCTTCTTCATTTTGCTATGTGAAAAGAATCTCAAGATGTGTAATATAAAATTCACACCTTATTAATATATCTTTTATAAAAACAACCATTTATGATAAATAAATAAATTCACACCTTAAAGTCATCCTATTCATAACAATGATACTATAAGAAGTCTGACACCACCATCGCCACCAAAAAAAAAAAAAAAGTGTTGATTAAACGCTTTGCCAAATGCTTCTAACAAACAAAATAGGCGTTTTCCCTCTAATTAAGTGCAAATATTTAGTTGCACCCTATCTTCCTCATTAGGAAAATTTTCAAGGTTGTTGCCATTGGAAATAGGCCTTAAGTGGGAAACTAAAAACAACCATCAATGTTTGCAGAGATTAGCCTATCATTTTCCCAAAAGCTTTGAATAGATGCAAATAAAGATAAAATAGAAAGCATAGATGTCTTACCCTTGTAGAACAATCACCTCATCAAAGTGATTCATGGGGCTAACTCCTTCTTCAATCCAAGAACCGCACTTAAATGAATGTCACCCTTATCCCCTTGTAGAGACCTTGAAAGCATTGCTTGTGGGAGCCTCCTCTAGTGTGAGACTAGAAAGGTTTGTGAAGAAGATGAATTCCCCAAACACCTATTTCTCTTACCTAAAATTGTTAGAGAAAGAGACATTTTATATTGAAACCCTATGGAGTGCTAATAGCACTCCCCATTCACATTTAGAGTGCTTAAAGCAACCCTACAATATAGCATATAATTATCTCCACAACCTTGGGCTTGTCTCTCTAACTTTGTGGGCTATAGGTGAGGATCATATTTGGGTTCAATCCGTCCTAGGCTAAAAATGGACTTGATTAATTTGGCCTGTTCATCTCATGACCCAAAAATTAAATCAACTCATTTAATCAAAATTAATAACTGAACTCCAATTAGGGAAAGCTTGTGCGCGCCACCTTTGTTAATTTACATAATAACCACTCTACATGAATTATGATAAATAAATGTCATCCCCTTTTAAATGCATACTTAAACCTTAATTTTTAAATAACAAAATCACCAAGAACTTGAATTTACCTTGATTAAACTAATTATCATAAAATTAAATATTCAAGTGGATGTAACCTTGAGAGTATGTTCTAAATTCAATAATTCAACAACTACCTAAAATACTTGGTTTTTGGACCCTATAGATCAAAGTAATTACCAAACTAGGGCAAAGGTCCATAGTTTATCATACTTGAGAGTTATACAATGCCATAACAATGATGAGGAATAAATTGTTATGATAGCAACTGCAATTTCTCAATCGATCTGTTCCAATTCTTTACAAATAGAGAGTTCATCTTCTATTATCGAATTAGAACATACGAATAATACGGTTCATTCCTGATACATATAGGCTCATAGATGAACACCCATCATATACATGAATCAACCCATGCCTCAATCCATCTCATGAATTGATCATTACAAATTATTCACAATATATATGCAAAAAATATTTAATCTCATATTCCAATAACATAAAATGTCAATTATAATATAATTGCTACGAAGGGAATACAATAATTAAACTTCTCCAAAAAGCATATTTTCTATATCAATTTTATTTTATGCTTTTATGCTTCTACTTTACCTGGGTTCTTGCATTGTTTTGCCTATTTCCCTACAAATTTGATTTGTTTATTTAAATTATATTCTCTACTTCTCATGCTACTCCAAAGGTCCATTGAATTGTTTTTTCAATATTTTATTCTTGGTTTGCACTATGTGATATTGTAACGACCAAAAACCATGGATCCGAAACACTAACCGGGTCCTTACCAAGACCCGAAGTCACATAAGGGTAAAATGGTAATTTTACATCAAGAGAAAAAATAATTTGACTTTAAGTAAGTCAAATAAGGTGTATACAATCCATTCTAGTCACTCCATGACATTCTAAGAGGTTCTAAGGGATTTAGTCATGGTTCCCCATGAATATTCTTTCTCGGTTTAAAGGATTTCCCGACACTATCATACTAAAGTAGCTATAACTCTTAGTGTAATTATAATATGAGAATGGAATTGATACCATTGGAAAGTGGATGAAAAATTCATCAATTTGGGCTTAAGAATGATCACATTTGGGTTTAAAATGAAGGAGTTATGACTACCCGAAGTTGGGGGTCCAAAACTGAATTATGTCCAAAGTCAACCAACTCTGGGACATTTGAATAGGTTCGGAGCACTTGAACTTGTTCAATTTGGATAGTAGCCCAATCCTAGAACCCAAAATTCATACTTGAACTAGTTCGAAGGGGTTGAACCCGTAACTTTTCGCAATTTCCAATTTTTTTGGTATTTTTTTTTTATTTTTCACGATTTATTTATTTATCATCTCATTTTGCATGCTGGATACCGGGGGGTGTGCCGTGTGAGTCTCGAGAGTTGGTTGGGGCATTTATCTGAGTTTAGAACTCTTAAAAATGCATTTTGGGTCATATAGACATTTTTTTTTTTATTTTCGGACCGGGAAGTCCTGGGTAGGTCTCACACTTGGATTTTCATGCACGAGATTATTTTTTGGCATCATAGCACTTCATGTATTTTTTTTATTTGGAGTATATTTTTGTGGCTATGTATATAATTTCATTATTTATACATGTGTATATGTGTAGATATATGGAAACGAGATAAAATAGATTTTTTTTTTTGTCAAGTGGCCCCAAATGGACCAAACCCCATATTCATGACCACATATATCACATTATCAGAATATGTCATCATTCTTCTCCTCCAAAACCGTGGCCTTCATTTTCTCTCTCTAAAAACCCAAGCTTCAAGGTTAGATTTTATCATTTTCCTTTGAGATTTGAACTTTGCCATTGAAGGCAAAGTTGTAGAGCTTGACGAGAGCTAAAAAGTGATCGGAGCAGATTTTTGTTAAGGTGATTTGGTGAATTTTGAAATTGGGGGCTTTGGATCTTTGGCTAGATTTGTTGAGGTAAGGTTTTCTAAACCATAAATCATTTGGTTTTAGTGAGTTATTGATCTCCAATGTTTTGTGAGTATAGCATGTTAAATTTGTGAACTATGTTTATGGTTGTTAGAGTTTTTCTATGAAAAGTATGTTGGGTGTTCTTGTAAGGTAATTGTGTTGGTTTCTTATTTAATTGAAATTATACTCTACATGTTTAATATGATATGGTTGTGTGGTTGATAACATGAGAATTATTATGTTACTTGTTAGACAAAGCATACAAATATGATGGTGGTTTAAATATATGAATTTTCATAACATCGAAATACATGTAGCATTCATGCATTGGCATTAGGCAAGAAAAGGGAAATTGATTTGGAAAAGAAAATAAAATACTTTGGGTCAAGGTTTGGAAATAAGGAGTGACATCTCATTGCATGGGACTTGCATAACATTACACTTATCATACTTGAATTGTATGTGAATGTATATGTTGATTTATTTTTCCCCAAAACAAGGATGACCCCTTTCTCTATGCTCTGTTCTTTGTTTGGATTCACAGAATTATTAAGGAGTTTGTTTTAGGTATTTCCTACTGAGCCGTTGTACTCACCCTATTATTATCTTTTTTAGGCACTGAAAATGAGTTAGTAGATGACTCATAGCATCTCCTGAGACAGTCCAATGGACTTCTTTTATAATCTATATCTTTAGCTTACTTTGAAATTGTAATCTTGATGTAAATAATGAAAATATAAAAGGCCATGTATTATTTTGAGGTTTTATTAGCATTTTGATCTCGTGTAAGGCCTCGTAGCCATATTTAGTTGTAACCGGATTTGTTTTGAGCACAATGAATGTATTTAGTCGTTTAAGTTTTAATTAATAGTATGGGAGTTCATTTACAATGTATACCATCCATTTCATGTTTTCAGGACAAGTTTAGACATCATCTAAGGTCATAAATAGACCAAAATGA